AAGAGCAATGGTAAGAAGGCATTCAGAAACATGCTCTGGGGGGATGTCTATCGACGTGACAAGGAAGGTATATTGACATGGGTTTTAGTTCTGTGGAAAGGAGAGGAAGGCAAGAATATAAACTCTGAACCTTTTGTGTGACAAATATGGTCACCTGGGGCCCTGCTACCTGCCTGAGTGGGGTATCTGCAAGGAACCTCTGTGAACGTTGAGAGTTTGAAATGAATGTTTCCAATTTACATAGGTATAGCTACGTGTAACATTGTTGTCAAAGTGGGTAAAAATACCCACTAGCATAGGAACAGAAGCTGATGGAAAAAAAAGATTGAAATTATTTTAATATGATTGATCTATTTGGTTTTATAATGACAAGAATATCTGCTGCAGGCAGAAGGATTATTGCAAAAATAATTCATTTAGCATTTATAAAGGGCATTTTACTCTTAATTTCTCTTATATATTTTATGACTTGGCCAATACAGCAGAAAAAAAATCCTATCATGAATGCAAACTTCTTAAGAAAGCATTACCTTAGCTAATGCAAAGGGAGTTGACAAAGCTGCCAATGATGCAGCCCTCCACACAAAGAAGTCTAAATCAGTTGCCCTCTACATCTTTGGTCTGACAGATCAAACCTTCAGGGTGCAGGGATCAAATTGCCAGTCAGTGTCCACTACTGACAAACATGTTTCATCTTCTTCACCAGTGAAAGGATGATACCTCTCACAGTAATCAAAGAGCAAGTAGAGCTTACAAACAATAGCACGTTTACATTTTTCATGTTTGTTTGCCTATTTGGAAAAAGCATCTGGAATAGTAATTCTCTGAGTGGCATGTGGGGAAGCAGAGCAGAACCACCGCTGCATAGTTTAAGAGTTAAGTCCTGAGGAGATGAAAATAGAAAGACTGATTGCTGGTTGTCTCATCAGCCCTTGTGAAAAGCAGCTGACTGTGTGTTCATGTTTGGAAGAGGAGAGGAAATTGGAAATCTATTACATTTCTCCTGGTGTTTCAGTCACAAGAATATATGAGACTTCATTTCAGAAAATATAGGGAGGCTAAGATGCTTAAGCCACAATTCAGAGATGCCTATTGTCACACATTATTAGAATAGTAGACTGATCAAGCCAAAAATAGCTTTGTTTCTTGAAACTCGGTCTGTGATAATGGGAATTGTGACTTCTGAAGCTAGATGGGTTAGCTCTGGGCTTTTTCCCTTTCTGCCTGATTTTTGTGGCTGAGTGCTGAAATTTGGATCTGACATCATGAATGTCAACCACCAGACCAGGACTTGGACTGAGAGTAGCTTCCAGAATATCGGTGACCATTTTGATTGTAATAAACACCACAAAACCATAACACAAGCAATTCTTTCTCTCCTAAGAGCAAATGGAGCGGTTTCTGGTTTGACACCCACACGCTTGTTCCTCCCTCTCTGTTTCTGTTTTCACACTTTAAACCCCCTCACAGAGCCTCAGATCAACTGTTGCACAAGATATCTGGCATGTTTCAAGGCCACTGTCACACAAAACCTACAATGGACAAAAGGGAAGGCAGTCTGAGTGATGGATATTGGGCCACCTCCTGAAATCTGCAGTAAAGACACACTGAAAAGTGGTTTTGCAAAAAGTGCTATGTGTGGTGCTACTTGCTACTCAGCAGCATAAAAAAGGAAAGTAGGTGGAAAGTGCTCAATACGACAACAAAAGAATAGTATGCGCTGCCTTTTTTAAAATGAGATTTCATTTTGCCATTGAATCAGCTCATCAGTCTTGTGATTCTGTCACTGACATGCTCACTGTCATCTGGACTTCAGTATCGTGTTGTTGCCCAGCATTAGAAATGCCAATTTTGTTTAACACTAGCGTTCTGGAACACTATCCATTTATTCACACAGCAATAAGGATGCACAGTTCCCAGACAATCCTTTTCATTTTTTTCCTTTCCTTTTTTTTTTCCCCTTCGTTCCCTCCCCCCCCCCCCCTTTTTATATGAACAGTGAAAAGGAATGTAGGCAGAGATTATAACAGGATCTTAGGTCTCTAATAATCCTCCCACGGCTGGTAGGGCTGCACAGCCCCTTAGGGCACCTTTCAGCACAGCCAGCCTGCAGCCACCAGAATGGCAGGCGTCCCCTAAGAGACCAGAGGACTCCTTTTTGCTTCCTTGACTTTCCTGAATGTAGAACAAAGCTCCCATATGGAGTTCAACATGTATGAACTTTTTCTCTGATTCCAGTGCCTTTTCTTCACATTTCTTACACAAAACTTCTCAGACAAATTTAACAATTTGGGGAAGTTGAAGAGAGAACAAAAAAAATTTGGAACCAGAAAGAGATAAAGAAATATTAGGTGACAATCTGTGTTCCAATTTAGGGGAACTTTTCCATCAGCTGCCCTCAGAGAAATTGAACTACACTTTCTCTTGCCTTTGCAGAATTACTCTGCTTTGCCTTCAGAGTGAATGTGGCAATTTTCCAAGCCAAACTTACAGGGGAGGGGAAATAAATCACTCTAATGTTTGGCTGGTAGAAATCCAAGCAGTAGAGAAACTAGTTCCTTTATAGAAAGTCTTGTAAAAAATGGCCCAATTTACTTAATCTTTTTGACTCACTAATGTTTCTGCTTGAGTCTACACTTTGCAAGCCATAAACATTGTGACAAATAATGAAGTAATCATGCAATTAGGACTCAATTACTTATGCTGTAAGAGTGACCTCTTGCTTGTTCTTCTCTCACATAAGAATAAATAAATATTGTGCCTTTTTCTCCCCTCTGGTGCTATTTTATGGCTTGGATTCTGTGAAAACCAGGAATTTTGTTCTCCTGGTTTTACCTTTGTAGGGTTATCTAGACCATGGTCTGTCATGAGGCAGTCAGGGTGCATAGTACATTTGACTAGTTGCCCTCAGCATATGGACAAGTAAGGAGTGTGGGGGATGCAGAGAAGACGAGCTGTGACTTCTTTCCCTCTCCAAAACTCAAGGCAGTCTACTGGGGCGAGGAGCAGGCCTGGAAAAATTGTAGCTTTTGAGCTCTGTGCACTGCTGTTTCAATTCAAGTGCCACAAGTCTGGGCCACGTGTTTATCATTCAGGCTATGTTGGTACGAGACCAGGAGCTGGGTAACCTACATTGCTGGCTGTGGGAAGAAGTGACCCAGCAGATGCTGCATGATTCATCCTGGAAGAGTTGCTTTGGGATACCACATCACACCCACCCCCATTCCACAGCAGGACTTTTCAGCCATCTCCATCTCCTTCCTGTGACCTACTCCCTGTGCCTGCCCCTGCTCTCTGTGCTCATACCACATGTGAGATGCCATATCCATACACATGTATCTCATGCTGCCTGACTCTATGAAGATACTGGTCAGTGGCTTGTAAGCTCAGAAATCTTGGGCAGTTCTACTGCAAGGCTTTGAGAAAGGGGTAACAAAGAAGAAATCCTGGCTTGAAGGTGCCATGCAATGCCGTCCTAAAGTATAGCTTTGTGGCTCCCTGGGCCCAGGTGAGAGGAATCTGTTAATCAGCCAGCTGCCAGATGTCTCATGTTAAATAACTTCCTGCAATAGAGGTTTGGGCCGTGTGTCCCAAATGGAAAGGATTCAGTACGTGGGCTTTCCTGCATTTCCATGGAGACCTGACATTTTTTTCCAGGTGCCTACAGCACAGATGCAGCAGTTAATGTGAATGTCAGCTAAACCGTGTGGATGTTCAGTCTGGTGGCTGGGGACCAAAGACTCACATGTGCCCAATGCATTGTCACACTACAGGTGTTGAACTAGGACTGTGGCAGAGCTTGCTACTTTAAATCTTGTCTGTTTTCTATTGTGGAGTCCCAGGCACATCTAGGACGAGTGTCTCATAAATGTCCTTCATCTGATATGGTCTACACCCCAACACTCTTCTCAAGGCTGTGTGTAAGAGACTCCTAATAAGGACCTTTCTTCAGTCTCTCTGGAGTTAAGGACCAAGCCTCTTTTGGGTGAAAGAGAGACTTCTCTCTTAGTGGCCAATTGCATTTTTCCTCTTGAGCTCTTTGGGAGTGCTTCATCTGTCCTTTTCACAGCAGCAGTGCTGCTGATTTGATTCTGAGGAGAAAGAGCTAGATCTGAGGTGTCAGAATACACTATTTCTCTCATGACATGCCCAGCATATTAAAATTAAGCCCTAATGGCTGACTTATATTTGCACTTAAATTAGACTGTAATAGCACTGTTCTTAGGGGACCTTAATAAGAACTGGAGAATGACACTAAATCAATGAACTTCTTGTTAAAATAACTAAACCAAAACTCAGATGCTAAGCCCAATGGACTTTGTTCAAACCTGTTAAAATACACTTTCCATCAAATAATGTTGCCAAGAAAGGGTTTTATATTCAGGTTTTGAAGAGTATCTCTTATATGAATAAATAAATAAAATTGACTGTTTAAAAAAATGAAAAGAAGAAGAAAGAAAGAAAAAAAAAGGATGTTATCACAAATCCCATGCAGCGCGAGAATAGCATGTGGTTTTCTTTTTAGTTTGGACAACTTTATCAAGTATTCTTATTCTATTCTCTTTCAACACAATGCATTTCTTACTTTATGTTTGATTTGAGTTACTCTTCTAGCTGTAAGATCCGTGCATGCTGAGATCTCTTCTGCAAAACACTCAGGATCCTGGCTCAGTTTCCTTTCCATTGATATTAATTCTTTCAGCTTCCAACCCTTACAGGATAGCCTAAATAAAGCAGAATCTCTTCAGTCATAAAAACATCACATCAGAAGCTATGCCTAAAAACCCTTTTCAGAGGGACAAAGATAAATCCTCTTCATTCCAGATGAGTTAATGAGAACTCTGCACAAAATCGGTCAGACTGCTTATTACAAGTCTCCATCACTGTGCTTTTGTCTTTCCCTCTCTGCCTGAATTTTAGACATACCTTTAGGTTGCCCCTTGATCACTTGCTTCCAAGGGTAATGGCCTGCCTTTGGCTGGTTGCTATTTCAAAACAAGCTTCCTGTAATAAGTGTGTTTTTGCCTCTTTTCAGTGATGGCTGGGCAGACCGAGATGAAGTCATCGAAGGCTACGAACCTGAAGCAAATGGAGGCATCACTATCAAACTGCAGTCTCCAGAGGTTTTGTCATTTGATGACTACTATCTGAAGCTGCGTCTGGACACCAACACCCGCAACCCATGGTTTCCTGAGTTCTGGCAACACAGATTTCAGTGCCGGATCCCGGGGCACCCACTAGAGAATCCCAATTTCCAGAAGAACTGCACTGGTAACCTGTGAACTATTTTCCTGTTTTAATCTGTGCTCTGTCAAAAGTTTGTCTTTGGTTATTTGTTTGTTTGTTAGTTTGTTTAATGTATAAAACATTGGTGAAAAGTACCAACCTCATATTGTACAGATATAAATCCCAGCTCTGATGGAAGTATGTCTGGTACTGGTTGCACAGCCTCCTCTAAATTTAGTTCTGCTCTGTTACAGAGTGACTTGTTCCCTTTTCATGTTTTAGGGCAATACTGAGAGTGATAAGAGTGTACAAGTTTGTAATATGGCTTGTGAAAAATATGTAACCATTAAATTTTACCAGAAATAGGAACAAATTTAAACTTTTTTTCTCAAAGTCAGATTTTTTGATCTGCTGAATAATCAGGAAATTCACAGCAAATATTATGGCAAAAAATTATTTTAAAGAAAATTGAGTCTTAAAATTGACCAGCCATCTCCTTCTCTATTTCTTTTCTTCACCCATGGAAACATATATAGTTTTATCCACTATGTAACACTCATATAAAAAACACATTGTCCTACAGATAGAAGTAACTCTTATCTCATAGCAAGAAAAGTGTATCTGTGCACAGACAGGTTTTCTCTTCCATAGTAGAATCTGAGAAAATAAACTAAAATGTTTCAGTAAGATTAGTAAATTGAGTAGTAGGGGATCACTTTTCTGTAAAATACTTGCTGAATAATTTTTGCAAATATTTTGTAAATATTTCATTTCTAGTCAATGTCTTCTCTTCTCCATCAGTAGCACCTCTTGACAACAGCTCCCACATTACCTTTTTTTCCCCCTCAGTTCTCTTATTAACAGCTGAGACATTTCACCAAATACTGTCACTGACTCAAAACTGGCCTGTCGTGATGACTGGCAGACAAGCTGGCCCATCTGGGTGCTCAGGGGCTAGCAGCAAGGCATACAAGCTAAATAAATATTGTGGTTATACTGGTATTTTTTCCTTAGAGAATTCATTAACTTTGGACTCTACCAAAATGTTGATTTGATATATACATTTAATTGGCTTTGAGACTGCTTCAGCTCAGATGAAGGAGTTAATATAGGCCAACAAAGGCAGAAATTACTAAGGAGAGGTTGAATGATGGACGCACAGTGCAAATGCATAGCCTTCTTTCTCAAGAAAAGACACTTAAAATGGCATTGTTTTGTTCATTCCATTCACATAAATAAATTTCATGCTGATACTCTATAAAAAGGTCTAATTTCTGAGGTATCTCAGGAGCTGTTGTAAACATGAGTAGTTTGTTATCCAGCATCTGATTCATGATGAAACTAAAGCTTTAGTCTGAAGCAGCATGGTCATTCTTTATCTGCTGCAGCAAAGGCAAATACCAAGTGGTGAATTCAAAACAGCCAAGATGGGGTACTTCTGCACAGAATGCGTACATGAGTTTTCAGACAGTGGTTGCTCTAAGATTGTATTTGATTCAAAAAGCAATTAGACAATTTCATAGAAGAAAATAAGGGCTGTTTTATGGCAAAAAAACCCCATCACCCCAAACTGGCTCAGGAAATCCCAGAGTTGAAGCCACTGGATATTGGGGAGAATGCTGCAGAGGTACTGTTACATGCCTGCCCTGGTATCCCATGCTTCTCAATGCATCAAGTATCAGAGACAGGAAACACTACATTCTAATAATACTAATGAAACACAAAAAACCATTTGTCTACATTCTGACTCTGACAGTTAATAGTCATTATTCAGGCACTCTTAAGTCTCCCTCTTCTAAAAACCTGTAGGTTTTTGCATGAAGCTTCAAAATGTGTGATACTTTTTAGGCTTGGCTGAAGAGCAATTAGCTCTTCAATCTGGTGGTGAACCTCTGATAAATATTCACACAGGTTTATCACACACAACTGAGAAGTTCACAAATGTCCAAAATCACCCGAGGGAAGCACCACAAGCTATCTATTCCTAATAATTGCATACTTACAGAATCAAGACTACTACAGCAAGTCTGAGGCCAATAAAATATTGTATTTTCTTTAGCTGCACAGAGCTGACTGGTGACTGTCTGGCACAACCAGATCTTTCTGCACAAGTATCTTTATCTGGCCTTTCTGCAGGGTTAAGAATGTAACTTCAAATACTAATAGCTTCAAAGCTTGCAGGTGTACCCTTTTTCTCCAAGGCAGTCTGGTATGACAGTGCCAAGAAACTGCCTTCTTCACCTCTCACAGGTTTGGAGACAGGCCTATTCACAAGCTCTCTGTAAAAATAAGAAGTCTGAATTGCCTCTTCCCTCCTTTTCAAAGTATCACCATGCACAAATTTGAAGGAAAGAACCCATGCTGCTCAATAAATAGTAAGTGCTAATATTTGAAATCCATTAAAATTACCAATAGATTAAGTTCTGACCTCGCTGTGGTACTACACATTTAAGTACTGCTGCTGCTACCGCATCACTCCAGCAAAATTATCAGTATTCAATACTGGTACTGAGCACCTTAACTCCATTATATCTAAGAGCTTTCACTCTTACCTCACAGTATTCTGTCAATATTCCTGTAACAAGGTATATAGGGTCCTGCATTATGGAAAAAGCTGAGGCCCCTGCGATCCCAGGTGTCCATGCACATTATTAGCATGCATCGTGACTATCTCTGGGTCCTGATCTGTTCTACATTCCAGAAGTGCACTGGTAGTCCTTACTGAGAACAAAGCATACCCCCACTTTTGCATAAACAGAAATTGATTCAAAGACAGGAGATTGCTCAAGTTCATCTTTCATGTCTGGAGAGTGAACATCTCAGGAAACTATCTAATGAAAATTAAAACCGAGGACAAAAATACTTGTGATATTTAGAGGAGCATAGTGTATTTGTATTTACCCAGCAGTGGGTTGCCTAGGAGCAACCAGAAACAAAAAAAAGAAAAGGCAGTGTTGTTTTCTGACTACCTTATTAAAAAGGATTCAAAATCCTTGGGCCTATCCATTTTGAAAAGGAGATTAATTGCAAAGTTTGTATTTGAGAATCTTCAATTACTGCCTGCCCAGTATAATTTTCTCATATACAACCTAATCACTTTACTGAGTGATTTATTCAGAATTGCCACTGGAATATGAAGTTCAATTTTTAGCACTCTTGGATAGGCAAGGACTTCTCCCCAAGCAATTACAGCTGCTGCATTTGCAGTTTCTCACACCCTCTTACTGTTGAGTCAGCACTAGCTTGGGATTTGCAGGCTTTCTACAAAGCAAGGGAAAGTCATTTCCTAGAAATCCCTCTTCTCTGATGACAGGAATTACTGCTTGAATTCCCTTATTCAGTCCCTGAGAAGACTGATGTTGTCCTTCAGGAATTCTTATGTTACACTGAGCTCTGAATGTACATGTGTAATTTTTGAGAAAAAATGTCTATCTGGTTTAAGTACTATGGAAGGGAAAAAGTCCAAGTGCCTTCTACTCTGTGAAGTCTGTTGGATGCCCAATAATTGGCCACATTTTCAGAATAGCTTATCTGGATGTACTAGGACTATATAGTAGTAGCAGAAATTCTTGGGAAGAGAAGACAACCATCAAGAGTTTTGCAGTGACTGCTCTTTTGGATTGTCCCTTCTTGCTAAAATGAAACAACTTACTTTTCCCACTTGGGTGGCAGCCAAATGAGTGGGAGCTATTTTTGACTCATTCCTTACTAATGCAGCCAAATTCCTTTCATAAGGGAATGCCTCTCTCCATTTCTCTCTCTCTTCCTGTGCTGTAGAAGATATTCTTCTTCAACGCAGTAAGATTCAAGTCTATAAGTTTTCTTATATGTAGATGTATTTGATCTGGCTGGGATGGAAACCCTGTAGAAGCCCCTTTAGTGATATATTTTGTATTTGTAGCTAGAACCATGTTGATAACACACTAATGTTTTGGCTACTGCTGAGCAGTGCTTGCCCAGTGTTGAGTGCTTGCACAGCACTCTCCAACCCTGTCCCAAACACCAGTAGTCAGGAGGTGGGCAGAAGACTGGTAGAGGACATAACCTAGACAGCTGACCTAAACTGATGAGAGCAATATTGCATATATAGAGTTCTTAAACTATCCATGTCACTAAGGTACTTCCAATGTTTTCCACATAGTAGCTACATTCTTTAGGAAACAAAGCATGTCCTGCAACTCTGCATGGATCTCTGACTTACCAAGAGGTTCAGATATTCTCACCATTCTTCATGCCCTTCAGATGAAAACTCAGACCAGAGCAGACCATTTTAACACTAACAGAAAAAAGCTGTTTCTGAATCTGAGGTACTAAGAAGCTACCTAACTCAGGGTGGACCTGACTTTAAGTTCTCTTAGCACACAACCTCAGGCACTGCCTCAAGCAATAGTCACAACTTGCCTCAGTTCATCATACAGCTCAGTCTTTTCCACATTTTGGAGATTATGCAGAGATTGTATGCAGAGATTATGCAAGATTAGGCGATAGACTGTGTATGCCAGGCAATGCACTTCAGATATCCCTCCAACAGTCTGGTAGGATGCTTTCTTCTCCCTGATCTGATGGAAATAGCCCAAATGGAAGTGTTTTTCTCCACAGAAAACTACAGCGACAAATATTTCTCTGTTGGACTTAGTGAGCCCATGTAGGCCATAATTAAATGCAAGTCACATTCATGCAGAAATTATGTAGAACTCACTGCAGTGCAAACACTTGTATGGAGGTCTAACTGCTCTTTTACAGAGTGCCTTATTCACTTTCTGGCAGATAATGCTGTAGTTTATGTAAACTGATTAGGATGAGTGCTCCTCTGCACCACAAGAGAGAGTTATGAAATTGGTTATGGAACTGATGCAAACATCAGATTATACTCACAGCAGTTCACCTGCTGGGACAACAAAATACATTGGTAGGCAAATAGCACAGACATTTTTCAACAGAGTGAAGTGGAACAAAGCAGGCAATTCATGATTCATTCATCGATTCAGTTGATCTTTGAGGAGAAGTATTATTTGTCAGTGAATGTATTTGTTGCAGACAAGAAC